TATTTTTTATTTTTTATTATTTTTATTTTATTTTTTATTATTATTATTTTTATTTTATTTTATTATTTTTTACTTTATTTTATTTTGCTTTGCTTTGTTTTACTTTATTTCATTTTATTAATTTTTTTGTCTTATTTTACTTATGTATTTTTTTCCTCCCTCTTTTCATCCGCTGTGAGTCAGAGTTGTTTCCGCCGTCTGGCTGAAGTAGTCCTCTGCCGCTTGCAGATCCTGGAAACTAATTTGCACGTTTGCAGTGTGAAACACAGAGATTAAAGCGCTGTTCCTCAGAGGGTTTGCAGAGGCTGTGGCTCAAGATAGATACTAGAAACATTACACGAAAGAAACTTGCAGGGAAATTCAGCTTTTTATGTCTCTGCATGTATCTATATCTGTTGTTAGATCTTCGACGTAGATAAGTGCAGGGATGGCTGCAGCTTGCCTACAGCACCGTGTGGTAATCCCTGAGAACGGAGACGTCTTTCCTGGCCGCGTTAAAGCCAAGCTTGGTGGATTCACTGCCAGCTTTGCAGGGGAGCTGGCAGCGTAGGGAAGTGTGGGACCAACCCACCGGCAGTGGAGCATTTCAACTAACATAGCCATCCCCGTTAATTTTCCCTTTAACGACTGTAAAAGAAAAATGTCATTTGTCTTCTCTGAAGATTATTGCTGCAAAGCTTGAGTTTAAATAGTGAGTTAAAGCAAAGAGCCAGTCCGTGGGCTGCTTCAGCTCTCGTGAAATGGCAACACCTCTGCTTACTCCCCTTCGCAGGGCAAAGGGATCTTCCTGCAGCGAAGTCCACACAAAAGTCTCACCAGCTGATGTTCTAAAGGCAGAAAATTGTTGTGCCAGAATGCTTGCTTGCAGTCCTGCCCAGAACCTGTCCGTGCCAGGCGCTGTGGGTGCGCCGGAGGTGGGCTCTGGCAGCTCGGGGTCTGGCGTCACTGGGCGTTCTCAAGGGAAAACCCATGGTCTGAAGATAACGCTCCCGGCTACGAACACTTCCATGGCCACCGTGGCCACCTCCGAGTCACCTCTTCCCATGGGTCTGGCCGAGGGGTGCGCTGGCAGAGCGGGCCGTGCCGGGTCGGGGTCTCAGTGCTCCCACCACCCGGCTCCTGGGCGCGTGCCCCCAGGTCCCGCTCGCAGCCTGGACCTGCTGCAGTTGGATGGAGATGTTCTGCTGCTTGCTTGGCGGAATCTGTGTGATATTGTTTTGGTCTGGTTCCACACTCTCCCGCTGGGCTTCCTTTTCTTTAAATAATGCCATAACTGATTGATTTCGAAAGTATAAGTTTGGTTATTCAATGCCTGGAACAAGAGTTTGTGCAGGGAGAAATAAATTAGGCATTAAGACCGATTCTTCAAGATATATATTTTTGAAAATGTGAGTGCAGACAGTACTTTGTTGTCCCGCGGATCTCCTGCTGGGATGAGCTTTGTGAGCTGTGAAAGAAATATGCAACGTGAGCGTGTTCTTTATGCGGAGTGGATGGGGCTTTGCTTGGGTAGCTTCTGTGGTAGTTGTGGAGCTGGCTGGGACGCGTCCAGGGAGCGGCTTTGGGACCTGGGGGTGCTGGTTTGTCCTCCCTCGGGGTTTGTCTCCACCTGAATCGAACTAATTTGAAATGAAAACCGGTGACTTTTAATACTTGTTTGTGCAACTGTTTGCATCACTGGGCACAAATCAGTTCTGTTATCCCCAGTACCCGAGAGGAATTATTAAATTAAAAAAGAGTTTGCAGAAGTAAAAGAATATATAATGAAATTAATTGCACTAGGATTTTTAGCTGTTTTCCATTTCATTTTAATTTACTTTTAATTATCTATTTATATAATTTTCTAGAGTCACTTTAATTTCCTTGACAACACTCTCTGTCAGGCTAATCAAAATATTTTCCTTTCGTCTGTCTGAAGCCACATTTAAAACGTGGGGGATTTAGAACCTAGTGAGCCCTCTGGACACACTCCCCCGTTATTGCAGTCATCCCCCTTGAAAAAAGCGTGCTAATTAAAATTCTCTTTCTTGGTTTGACACCTACCAGTACTAGCTACCAGCAGTTTGCCTTCTGAATGGTTTGTGTTTAGATAGTTTATTTGACCTAGCAATGTAGCTTTTACTGGGTTTTGCTATGGTTTTTATTTGGCAATAGGGGTGGGGAGAGCCGTGCTTTGGGAGCGGCGGAACACGCCGCTCGCGACTGCGCAGCTCCAGCGCAGGGACGGGGTGGGAGGGTCTCCAGGTCAAAGGCAGGGGCTGAGCAGGAGAGCAGCCTGCAGCCCAGAGCGCTGCTGGGGTAAGGAGCGATGCTTCTAATCTGTTTTCATCTCCTCATGTGTCACGGAACGCTGCTAGTGGGCTGTGTAGTGGGTCAGTGTGCTGGTATCTGCCTATGGTTCGATGAACACCGTTACCTTTATCTGATCTGGATTTGGGACCTGGGTGTCCTGGTGGACAATAGGTTAACCATGAGCCAGCAGTGTGCCCTGGCTGCCAAGAAGGCCAATGGCATCCTGGGGTGCATCAAGATGAGTGTGGCCAGCAGGGCGAGGGAGGTTCTCCTTCCCCTCTGCCACGCAC